TCCTGGGCGGGAAGGAGTGGCCTGCGAGATTTCATCACCGCTACTCAGAATGGCATGCAATTTAAAACGTATGCGTTGTTTATTTCTGAAGCTTTCCATTAAATATATTTGGACTGCACTTGACCTCAAATAACAGGGATTGCAAAAAGTGAAACTGTGGATGAGGGGGGACACTATTGCATGTAAGTTCCAAGGGCACGAATTTTAAACAGGTCATTTTACTTTTGCACTGTGGTGGTTTTACCCTCATATGAATAAAGCTACTCTCCATCTGGTCACTACCTGCATTCCCTTAATAGACAATCGTGGGAAAGAAGAGAAAATGATTGGCTTATGTAACTGAAAAGTCCAGGGTGGACTTCAGACACAGCTACATCCAGGTGCTTTAATCCTGTCTGCTTGGACTTTGGCTTCTGCTTTCACCTATGTTTTGATTCTAAGGCAGATTCTTCTTAAATCTTGTTCAGGGTAGCTACCAATAGGTCCAGTCTTAAATCTGTAAGCTTAGCAAACCTCATAGAAAAACAGCATCTCTTTTTCTCTAACCCTATCAAAGATTATGTTTATTGGCTTTGATTGGCCTGGCTAGTTGTGTACCTGCCCTTAAAGCATTTTCTGAAGCTAGGGAGATGCTGCACCCTCAAAGGCCAGGACTTGGTGATGTGCCCACCCCTGGGGCCACAGAGTAAGGTCAATGCATGATCTGAACTATGTGGTCTGGGAGTATAAGGGGGGCTGCTCAAAATCAAATTTAATGCTACCACCAAAAAGGGGAATCAATACTGGCATACAATACACTATTGCTTTTTAACTGGGGTAGTAGAGACAAAATAAAAATGAACAAAAAGCCTAACATGGATTTAAGAATGTTCCAAAGAGGAACCAAATAGATTCGATAATAGGAACTGGATAAAGAAGTAAAAAATGATGGAGCTACATATTCATTGACTTGCCTAAAGCTAGAAATAGTGAAAAAAAAATCTAGTGAAGGGTTTATATTCTTTGATTGAGAGCCAGAGCCTTTCTGGGAACCAATTTGGAATGGAGACTAATTAGGTTATTGTATTAGCCAGGGTTCTCTGGAGAAATGAAAGCAAGAAGACGTATATATGGAGAGAAAGTTTCATTGTAAGGAATTGGCTCACAAAATTGTGGGGGCTGGCAAGCCCCAAATCTACAGTCTGGGGACCAAGGAAAGAACTGATGTTGCAGCTCAAGTCTGAAGGAGGTCTGGAGGTGCAATCCCTCCTTCCTTGGGGTACCTCAGTATTTTAAGGCCTTTGATTGAGTGGGTGAGGTTCCCTTGTCTTATGGAAGGCAATCTTCTTTATTCAAAAAGTCTGTTGATTTAAATGATAATCACAACTAAAAAAAAATACCTTGACAGAGATACTGAGAGTTATATTTGACCAAAAACTGGATACCACGACCTAGCCATGTTGACACACAAAATCAGCCTTCAGTTACCTAGTTGAATCTCGAGTGATCCCTATACTGAGCCAGAAGGGAAGTGGCATCTCAATGCTCAGGCCAAACTCCAGACCAATTAAATCAAGTATATGGGGGTGAGGCCCAGGTAGAGGTATTTTCCGATGTCCCACGGGTTATTCCAATGTGTGTACAAGATTGAGAATCACCCTGGTACAGCGGTGGTTCTTCAAGTGCGCTGTCCAGACTAGCCACTTCAACCTCACCTGCGAATGTGCTAGGAATGCACATTCTCTGCCCCTGCTCCAGACGGACTAACGTGCAGCAGCATTACACCTCCAGTCTCTTCTCTAACCCAGACGGGCAGGATATTAGTAAAGCTCTATGAGCGAACAAACTAACTCCTTGTTAAGATTTTCTTTAGTAATGGAGTGTCTGTTGGAAATATACACACAAAACCAAGAGGGGTCTTGACTGCACGGCCAGGCTTTATTGAGACTGGGTGTTTCTAAGACAAAACAGATGTACAAATCCCTCAGCAGCTCCCGGGACTCAGTGGCAGATCCAGCAACTGCTACCTCCCAGGCGTTTAAGTGTAGAACCCTCACCTTTCCTTACAGTGCTTCAGTTTATTCTGTTGTTTCATGTCTCCTCACAGACTGAATTCCTTCTCCCTTACCTTCTGTCTCCCGAATCTGATTGGTGCAGTTAATCACCTCTGCCATTTGAGCAGTGTTCCTTTACATTTGCCCAACTTATTAGCGTCTGGACAAGATAAAGATTAGCTTTCCTTGGGTCAAGTCTCCCACCAAACCCAATCAGATGGGACCAGAGTGAAATGAAATGCAGAATGTTAAGAATCTCCTGGGGCCATTTCTTTTAAAAGGACTGAGGGGCCTCATAATGTGGGTTGGTGCGTGTCACTCAGTGTGTGGCTTGGCCTCTTAGTGATCTTGAGCTGTTCTTTGACCCTTAAATCTATGTGCAGTTTTTTTATACAAAAAGACATCAAGGAGAATATACATGTTTGTTCAAGTATATCTTTTGGCGTAGTTGGAAACTTGTACTGAAAAGTTTTGGAAATGTTTCTTTTCCATTTTAACATTTCCTATAGGGAAGGCCTCTTGTGGCCCAATTTAGAAAGGCCGAGAGCCAAATCATTTTTGAAAACAAAAATCTGATTTGCATGCCCCAAATTGTAGGGCTTGCATTTTATGCAGAAATTCCCTTTGCATAATCTCATTCATGAAGATGTAAATGACTAGAAGCTTGTTGGCATTTTTAAAAATCTCATTCACCAAAAAAAAAAAAAAAAAAAAAAAGAAAGAAAAAAGCTCAAGTGACAGTTCTCTCCAGATTATTTCAGACTGGCAGTCTTAAACTTTCTTTCTGTGATCTGATCTTACTATATTTTGAAAAACAGTAGAAGTCCACTCCAAATCAAAGGGATAACTAACCTCTGGGAAAAGCATGGGGTTAAAAACCTTAACGATGCCACAATTCACTGAACACCCTGAATCATTTCATCTATCTTAATGCCAAAATTAAATTTGTACTTTACCCCGAATCTTGTATTGCCATTTACTTTATCTTATGCCACCAATAACTACGATACTACCTTGAAGTATTGTAAAGCATAAATTTCAGCTACCAGAATATGTCCATTAAAACCAATTTAATTTGGATTTACCAAATTGTTCTGTTGGTAACAAAGGGATATTTACAGAGCTAGTATTTATATCCTGAATTACTCATTCTCTTATTAAAGCCTGATTTAAGGTTTTCAATTTGATTTTCAATGTTCCCCCACCCTCCAGAAGGTTTATTTTCTTTTGAGAGTGGGAGGAGAAACATTGATGTGAAACAAACACCAGTCAATTGGTCCCCCCCCCCCCCCCGCCCCACATACGTGCCTAAATGAGGGATTGAACCCACACCCTGGCACGAGCCCCAGCCGGGAATCAAACTGGTGACCTTTTGGTTACTGGATGACGATCCAACCAACTGAGCCACACTGGCCGGGGCAAATATTTTCTCTTGAGAAGACAAAGATCCTGAACCCTAAGCCAATGTCTGGCTTTTATTTTATTTCATTAAAATATGCCCTCACCTCAACATGTCCCTCTGACGAGAACTGGGTAAAAAAAAGTATTATCTAGCATGTTTACAATGAAAATCACGAGGCTAAAACGTCTGTGTTTTTTGGGTAGCTGTTGAAGTTGGGAGTTTTGGGCAATTTTTGCAGTTTGCGAACATTTTATTAAGTCCGTTTATCTCAAAACCATACCCTAGGATGATTATGGCAACTCTTTAATAAAACATATTTGTTTGCTTGTAGTGATAGGAAATGAGAAAAGTGAAGTTTCTAATCGTTAGGGTCTCACAAAGAAATAGGTCCCTCGTGGTTTCAATCAAGGGAAAAAACAATACACTTTAGTTGTGCCATTCCACAGGGCTGTAAATATTTTCAAGTTGCGTTTAAAGATGTAGCATTACTAACCCAATTGCTTCATCTGGTTAATTTACTCCATCGTCTAGAAGTTACATTATTCCAGTAAAATGAATCAACCCTGAGAACTATGCCATCACGAAAAATCTGCAAGTTGGAGCACACATTCTACAGAAGTCTATTACACCTTTCAAACTAAGTGTTCAATGAAGTGTTTGAGAATTAAAAAAAAAAAATACATAGAAAAGAACATTATTTTTCCAAGTCTCTCCACTTTATAAAAATAAAGGAGCCCAAAAGTGTCTATGCATATTTTCATATCCTCACTCATATTCTTGAAAAATAAAGTCTAACATAGGTAAGGCCTAAGGAGACTAAAAAGAGAAATCCTTCTACTTTAAGAGATGAAATATTCATAGTAGCGGCAGAGTTTATTTTCATGAAGATACCAGCAGATGTCAGCAAAAACCAAGTCACATGAATTTGTACAAGGATGTTAAGCTATTTCTAGCTAACCATAGTGACTTTTTGAAAATCTCTCATCACCAAATCTTAGCACGTATATGACACCTCAGCCTTCCATATTGTTACCTGACTTGTAAATTATCATTCTGGAGGTGGCAAACAGTGGGCACTCATTTTCCCAACAGTTCTTTCAAAGAACTGAGTGGTTCTGATTTTGCTCAGCAAAAACCATTTTCAACGCTGTATTACAAGCCAAACAGCACTTCCTACAACCATCTTCAGTTTAAAAAAATCAACTGGTTTACAGAATATTTCATATTACTCAGGAATTCCAACACTGGTTCAGGGATTCTGAACGTGAAGTATTTGTGAGTACATGAATGCATCTCTGGGGAGGCAGCTCATAGCTTTCATAAGCTTTTCATAGGAGTTTCTGCCCTCCAAGAAGTTAGAAAACATGTTTGGACTTGAGAAAATTATATTCTCTGTATTAATGAATCACCCTATATATATGAATATCTGTCTCAAGATTTATCTCCTAAAAACGACTTAGTTGAATCCACACCAGGCACACAGTTGTAGAAGAGGCTGCCAAGATAGTGGAACAGGTTGTTATGTAGAACTAGATGTCATATTTTGAAAACAGAAGAATCTTACATGCAATATTCCAGACCTATTTTATTTATAAAAGGTAAACAGAAAAAAGGTTGCATGCAATGTCATTTGTATTATTCAAATACACACATGCATTTTTACTTCAACATTTGTGACCAGCATTACATAAGATCAATGTTTTTGGCTCTACATTAACTTCTCCACCAGGAGGCACATACAAAAGTTAAATATCTTTATAACTTTTAGTTTTGCTTTTTAGAGTAATAGCATTCTAAAATAATTCAGCCACCTTGAATCATACCAAAATGTAAAAAGGGTCTAGATGATTTCATTGTTTTCTGTATATCTGAAATTTTATAATAAAAAACAGTAAGTAGGCTTGTGATATTTTCCAAAACACAGTTTTTATTAACAACGTGCTCTAAATCAGATATTTCTTTCTATACCTCTTGCATGGTCATTAAAAATCTGGTCTCCTAAATAAGGGTTAACAAATAAATATTAGCATAGTAGTTATCTAAGAAATTTTTCCTTGAAAGACTTTACCATATTTGAAAAATAATATAAAATATTCTAAGTAATGCTGAAACAATTGGAACTTTAAAGTCATTTATTCTGCTGGAAATATTCGTATTTTAAACAAAAAAACTAAGATTTTAATTTGTTTCTAGAAGAGCCTAAGTAATATACTAAATAACCATTAGAAGCAACAAAAATGATGGCAGTAATGCGATTAAGAAGGTTTAGTGATCCTAGAAGTTCAGGTAAAATTAGAGTCTATGTTAAAGTCCTTTATAAGAAATTATTTCCTTAATTCAGAAAAAAATCTACCATCTGATGTTAGTATATAAAGCTAAAATATTCTTTTTGCCAGTGCTCTGCTGCAACATATAAATCAAAGAATTGATTAACTGTACTACTGACAACCAGGTCAGCGAACAATTATAACTTAAAAATGACATTTAATTTTGTGGTTGAAAATGGCATTCCATTAAAGTAAAACCAGTCTTTTAAAGAGACTCTAAAAGTGTTCAGAAAAATAAACCTCTACTGGCAATAAACCTGGCTGTATAAATTTAGTTTCAATGGTTAAAATATATTTAAAGTTGTTTAAAGCTCATTTGATTAAACTAAAGTACTATATGTAGGGAAAACAAACAAAATAAAAACCTACTTTAATGGCAGTATCCTAGATGGAAGATTTTAGAACAACAGGTAACTGTTTTTTTTTTTTAAAGCAGAGATAAATCATCATGAAGTCCCATTCTCCAAACAATACCCAAATTCCAACATCGTTTCAATTTCTAAGTAATTTAGTTTCAACCAGAGTTTCTCCTTTTCCTTTTTATCAGTACTCCCATCAGGAGCCTTTTTTAGCTTTTAATCCTAATCAACACTTTATATATATATTCATGCTTTATACACAGAGTAAGATTTTTGCCACAAAGAATCCATTTTCACCAAGAATGGATGGTCTAAATGATGACAGATTTACAGTACTGGAACATCTTTTTAAACAGATGAAGTAGGGAGAAGAAATCGTGTATTTTACTACAGATATGTAGATTATTCCCCAGATAACTTAATGCTCACCTACTAAGCTGTAACAAAATCAGCTTTCCCTGAAGTAGGCAGTTCCCGGTTACCGGGTGACAGTATGGGACCATTAAAAATCGCTATTCTGAGTAATCTTTCTTAATAATCAATTGGAGAAATTATTGTTCTATTCAGTTAAAATGTAAATGAAAAAATTGTAAAAAGTATGTTTTTAGTACACTAATTAAGACCATTAGAAAGACGGAGACTTAGTGTTATTTCACTGTAAAAAAACAAATCAAAAAAGTTTAAACAATGCTTTTTCCCTCAAATAACATACACCATGGTGAACTGCCATACTTCTTTATGTTTAGTTTTTCCCATTTCATAATTTGTACTTTCAATGTTGTGAAATGTTTCTGTCATTCCCTTTCATGTGAAGTTTGTTACCACTGCTTCCTCTGGGACACAGCCGTCCTTCCCGCCGTTTCATGTGAAGTTTGTTACCACTGCTTCCTCTGGGACACAGCCGTCCTTCCCGCCGCCGCACCGGCCATTTCCCTGGCCGCCCACCTAGAGGCTCTAGAAAGGCAGCAGTGTCCACATTCCCATGATCAGTGACTTGTCCCACAATTCCATTCATGTTCAGCTCAAATCTCACTTCTAGCATTCCCATTTTCCATTTCTTTGCCCATTCTTTTCATTATCTCCTTTTAAAAGATGTTGCATGCAGGACAAATAATACACCTGTATGCTTTGCTGTCTGTGTGTGAACTCATTAATAAGATGTGCAGTGACCAATGTACAGCAGAATTTGAGAGAAGTCATGTGACTGGCACTGATCATGAAAAACATGTTATTCACATAGTGGACTGAAGAGCTAGCAGGGAAATTTGTACGTCATGTACTAAATAGTTAATATAGTGTGGTAACTGAAATTTGAGCTTGCTGTTATGAACTGGTATTCTTTAACTAAATCACTGCCATCAAAATTTGTGGATACAGGCAAACTGAGGGCTGCCTATAACTTATGTTCGCATTGACCCAGGCAGGCTTAAAGTGACTGTTGAAACAGCTGATCTAAATTTACAATATTAGTGCACACAGAGTGCATGCTGGGGTGGTTTTCAAATGTCTGTCATTTGGTAATCAACTTTATAATGACAAAATTTTAGAAACAGAGAAAGTACTTTAAAGATCCCATAATATGACAGCACAAACTATCCAGCATGTTTATTATGAATAATTTCCCCTCCTTCGATTTCGATCTGCTCGTACAGCCACTTGCGGTCACAGCGGCATTCCGCCCCACACTTGGTAGAGCCACAGGCGGGACACGCATAGAAACAGCCCAGGCAGTCTTCGTCAAGGCAGTCGCACAGGTCCATGCCACTGAAGATCAGAAGGCCCTGGCTATCGTAGACCTTGCTCTTTGCCGGTATCACTTGTCTGTAACATAAACACAAGGTGAATTACACCTCACCAATACATTATTGTTTGAATATTTAATTGAAAGGAAGGAAATGCAAAAAATTTAAGGAGATAACATTCTGAATTAGGGATGAAGTCCCACCAAACTGGTACATAACTTACCGAAGGCTACTCTACTGTTAATAGTATATGAATTCCATGCTAGAAGAGACCTCACTCTAAAGTGCTGAGACAAATACAAAAAATCTGAATATACCTCTCAAAGTCCATTAAAAACAACCCAGGAAAAGAATAGACAAGAACCCTGTCCAAAAAAGTAAGTGTTTTTCTGTTAAAACTTCCCTTACCTTTAACAAAAGAATGAATGGCTAATAAATAGTGGTACTTTTTTTTGGGCAACCAATCTCTTTATTTTGTGAACACCATTTTATTTTTATTGCAGTATTTTGACTTATTGGTTTTTATACTGCATTTAATCTGCTTTTTGTTCTCTAATAGGCTCTAGCAAATCTGGCCTAAAAATACTTAAATGACTCAACAGAAAACCTTAACAGATAGACAAACAGCACCTGTGAAAAATCCTGAATGATTATACTAACATTTCTTTGTCAATTCATATTTTAGAAATACTCAATTTAAAGTCATATTCTAAACAATTTAGCTTCCTCCTTTATTCTGTTGACTGTACCATAACTATTTAAATTTCATACCTATAAAATTTGTCATAAAATTTACTTTTTAGCTACCACTCATACAGCAGAAATACAATTACATAACATCAATGCTTTTCAAAAAAGTCAATTATTTTAATTCTAAGTATAATGTAATTAAATTATTTTAATTCTCATGCCAAAAAATTATCTTGTTCACTTCATTGATACTTTCTCAGAAACAAATTTTTAGAGGTGAAAAGATGTCTTAATTATTTATGAGGTCCTCAGGTGTTCTCGTCAATTCCGGATGACTCAATGTGAAATATTTACCCAGGAAATTCAAAACCTAAGAAAAAGATAGGGGAACAATAAAGATGTGAAGTGGAAGGTTCACAAATGACTTAAGTAACATACAGCCTACCTGTCTGAACCAGAAGCTGCATTTTTTGTAAGCCTTCTTTTTTCTCTTTTACCAGTTTCTGGAGCAAATTCAGTTTGCTTCCCTGGGTTTGCAAATTGTAATGACTTCAAAGCTTTAGCAGTTCTTCCCTGAATGAAGGTAAACAAATTATCAACTTAAATCTTGACATCAGGTCATAGTACTATATTTCACTTAATTTTAATCTAAATTATTCCTTATCTTGGAAGACAGTCTGGAACTCTCACACACACACATATAAAAAAAGGTTCCAGAACCCAAGTGCAACAAAATCTACACAGGCTTTGACCATATTCAAAATTTATTAATTTACATATAATATTTTCATTATCTAACTTTAATTTCTGGTATATTAGGAGGAGAGGAGGACAGGAATGATGAAAACTAAAATGCTGCCAACGTGGGAGAGAAGTCAGAAAAACTGCTTTATAACCCAATGGCATGTAACTGAGGTTCCTAATAATGATCCTGAGTCTTTAAGAAAAGGTCCTATTATTATTATAGTATATGTTTTCAGAAGTAGAAATATGGTTCCGAGTCCTGAAATGTATTACAAAACTTCCATGGTTAAGAGTTTAAGTCTGTCACTTGGGGAGACAGCCTGATACAGTCCACTCGAGCAGCAGATGAATGAGGTGGAGAAGGCAGCTTAAGTGTCAGCAGCAAGGACCTCGTATGAACTGCAAGATGACACTGGGTTGGAGATGCGCCCGAGGGGAGTGCAAAAGGAAAACTCCACATAAAATCTAAATCTCTAATTATCTTCTAATTTGGCTTAATAATATAATGAAAGATAACACTGAGATAAGTATCCCAGCAGCAAGAATTATCAGTTGGCTACCAGGAGAAATTTGGAGAAGTGATCCTTTGACGTGCTTGTCCTTGTTCTACACCAGAGAGCGCTCTAGGAAATCTTAAGGTGTTCTGATATGGTTCAAGAATCTGAATGGAACCATGGGAACGAGGAAGGGAGTTCTAAAATATTTATCACTTACAATGTAAAAATGTTTGCTTTTTGACCAGAGGGAGTCCTAAAATTAGCTTTAATGGAGCCAAATAGAATTTCAGAGCTAGAAACAAAGAAAACTCACAAGCTTCTCAAAAACCCAAAGAATGGGATAGCACCTAAGGAGAAAGAAAAGTTGAAATAAGAAACGTCACTTCTCTGATGTTCCTTTAAAAGCAGTAATTTTTCAAGTCCTTCACGAAAAGGAAAATTCACCTTGTTGTATATAGACCCTTGCTGGCTGGCATACCTACTGAGTTACTTTAGTGTCAGAAAAAAGCAAAGATAATTAAGTCCTGGCTTTGTCAGTGTTCTAAAAGCCACTCCCCTAATGTTCTAGCACTAAGAGTTACAGCTTGGGAGTCTTGGGTATATTATGTTATTCTGGTACCAAGCCTACTTTCTTTGTCATTTAATCTAGGTATATGCAAATATTTAGAAACACTACTTATTTTCACTTCTCCAACTTTATACTACTGCATGCTAATTAACACAGTGGTACCTTGGTACTTGTGATGAGTGCTGAAACCAATGAGGAACAAAAGATGAAGCATTTTCTCTTGCAGGGTAGTGTTGTAACTCATACAAGTTCTAGCAAGTGCGAGGATCCTAAAACACTTTTTTCCTCATCAAAATGCGACAAGTACAGGGTTTGATGAGTTCTGAAGCCAACGAGTACTGAGGCATGACTGTATAATAGTAATGTAAATATGACTTTCTTATAGTTAAACAAAACCCCATGTTGTAGAAATAACACAGGGGAAAAAATAACTGCTATACATACATCCGAATCAGGTTTTCTTCTCTGCCGGTCTTCAGTATCAACATCCACACTTCCATTGATTATCTGTGTACATTTTGGGCAAAGCTTCCAACCAGGTACAAGCTGTCTGCCAAATTTTGCACTCAGAAAAGTGGCATCATCTAAGTCAATTACATGCAAATTTTTTTTGGCTAGTTTTTTGTGTATGTTAAATGGGTCACAACATGACTTCTGTAAATCCTCAAATCTGTCGATGTAAATTTTTGCATGATGAAAACAAATTGTATTGTTCCCAGAAAGTGTCATTCCGGTTCTAAGTTGAAGTAAAAGCATATCGTTTGATGACAATTCTTGCAAAGTCTTGAAACCTGTGTGGCGAGTGTAGTAGGTTTTATGGCACTCATTTGTGGTACGAAGCTGGACTCCAACTGAACACGGATCCATCATTCTTGATTCTAACAAATTTCCTGTTTAATTCTGTCGAGGGATCTGTCTCTTATAAGTTATGTGCTGATCACCCTAAAGAAAACATTGAAGAGAGTCAGATTTGTGCTGCAAACTTTATTTTGAAAACTGAAAAGGCATTTCATAAAATTCAATGCCTGGCTAAAAGAAACTTTTAGTAAACAAAGAATAGAAAGGTATTTACCAAAAGCCTACAATAAATATTATTATATTTAAACATAAAACATTAGAACCTTTCCCTGTGAAGTTAGAACTACATAATATCTGCTATCACAGCTTCCATTTAACAGCATATTAAAAGATGTAAGAATTGAAAAGAAAGGAACATTACTCAAAGATTAAACATCTATATGGAAAATATTAGAGGTTTCTGCAAACTTTTAGCAAGATAATTCAACAAGGATACTACAAACCCAAAACTTTAAGATACCTTACAAAACATATAAATCTTACAAAAGATATGCAAAACTTTCATAGCAAAAATGATCAAAACAGGCCCTGGCTGGTGTAGCTCAGTGGATTGAGCGCAGGCCTGGGAACCAAGCAACCACGGTTCGAATCCCAGTCAGGGCACATGCCTGGGTTGCAGGCTGGGTCCCAGCAGGGGACACACCAGAGGCAACCATACATTGATATTTCTCTCCCTCTCTCCTTCCTTTCCCCTCTAAAGATAAATAAATTTAAAAAAATCTTTAAAAAAATGATCAAAACAGAAAGGCAAAGAGACACTTTTAATAAATGTAGAAATATATCTTGGAAAGTCTATGGTAAATATGTCAACTCTCCAGGAATTTATCTGTAAATTCAATACTACTCCAATCCAAATCTCATCAAGTACTCTGCCCAGTCCCTCTTGAATTTAGCAAACTGGTTTACATGGAAGAGTAAAGGTTCAAGTAAGCCAAGAGAATCTTGAAGAAAAACAAAGTACGATATTTATTTACTATAAAGCCATCATAATTAAAACTGTGGTATCAGCATAATAGAGACAAATAGATCCATGAGAAGAGTAAGGTGTACGAGACATGGTATTATAAATCAATGGTTATTACACATTAATGGGAGAAGGACGGAATGAAAGATGTTTGGAAAACTGCTTATGTGGAAAAAGGAAGAATGAGATTTCTTTCTCACAAACAAAAGTCAATTCCAGATGGATTAAAGAATTAAACATGAAAAGAAAAATTTGTAGACTTTGTGACACTGGGGTTGAAAAGAATTTCTCAAACAAGAATGCATATATCAAATAAAAAGATGGATACATTTGACCATATGTCAAAATCAAATATTTCTGTATAACTCTAAAGGAGAAAAAAGCCACACATGCAAATGCCTGAAAAAATCCTGACTTCTACAAATCAATTAGAAAATAACAAAAGCATTAGGAAACTAAACACATATAAACAGGCAACTCACCAAAGAGAATAAAATAGACAATACATGCATGCAAAGATGTTGAACACCACAACTGTCAGGAAAATGCAAACTAATACCATTTCTCAAACAATTACTTGGCAAAATTTGAAAAATCTGATGACCTAGCACCGGCTAAAATGTGGCCAATGTTTAGATACTTCTTATACTTTGGTAGGAATGTAAACCACTGCTTTAGAGAGTTTTTGGCAATTCCTCACAAAATGCAGAAGCGTACGTGCCAGCCAGCACCTTGCTGCATGTGCAGTTCCAAGGTCTGTGTTAGGGAAACATGTCCCAAATGAGCACAAGTTATATACAAGGACATTCAGCATTCACTGTTTTTGACAGTGAAAAGCTGGTAATAACCTAACTGTGAAGGACAGGGAACTGTGCGTTATTCAGGGGACTCATAAGGGCGGTTGAAATAAACAGACTGCATGAATTATACTTATCAACGTGGACAAATCTTAAAGAGAATCTAAGTGAAAAAAGCTGAAAAAAACATATCAGTTATGTAAAATTTTATATAAACACATAATATAAATTATTCATGGACAAAACATAAACACATGCTAAAATATATATGAGGGTAACAGATACCAAATTTGTGATGCTTTAAAGGAGGAACTGGTTTTTTGAGTTATAGAAGGTATGGTTGGTGGCATGCACACAACTGTTTTCTTATTTCCCATACTTTCTATTTAAATTTTTCGTAACTAATGTTTTTTAAATACTTTATTTAGCTTTAGAGGGGAGGGGAAGGGAAGGAGAGAGGGAGAGAAACATCAATGTACGGTTGCTTCCCGTGTGTCCCCTGCTGGGAACTAGCCTGCAACCAGGCATGTGCTCTGACTGGGAATTGAACCATGGTTGCTTGGTTCCCAGGCCCAAGCTCAATCCACTAAGCTATGCCATCCAGGGCTTAAATTTTTCATAACTAATGTTTTTCAAAATAAAAACAAAAAGTATTTAATTCTTAAGAGAAAATTCAACAAACAGGAAAAATCTATTTTCAAAGTAGATATGAAAAACTGAAATCTGGTTGGTAGAGAGGCATTAAAAAAATCTAGGAATCTGAAACCTTGGCAAGTGTTTTTATAAGCTTTGTTCCTCATTTAAAAACTGGTTAGAAATACTGATGACACTTTCTTATGTATTTTATGCAGAGAGAAACTATAATCAGTAAAACTAAATACAAAAAGCAGACTCTGGCCTCTTGTAAAAAAAAAAAAAGGTGAGTAAATACACACCTTGATGTTTTAAGTTAAAATACTAAATTTAAAAGCTAAAAAATACAATATAAATTGTTAAAAAGTTATTGGCCATTTTAAGTTAAAAACTTTAAATTGTTTAAAATGGAATATATTTATTTTCTTTTATTTTAACCAACTTTTAATATTTAATTCCCCCAAATAGGTCCTGATTACATCAGACAAAATAGCTTGTATCACACAAATAATTAAATTTTTTTCAAAGAGAAAAGTGGGTTAAGATAAATTAAGAGTGGAAAAAGAATCGAGGTACTACTCTTAATACAAAAAACTATGCTGTTTTGTACCTTAGCAGATACATGACACAAATCTGGCTCTGACTTTTCTTCAGTTAGTGTAAATAAGAAAATTTGTTCAGCACATTATGAAATTGCTAATGCCTAATGCCATTAATGATACAGATTCTTATATTTGTAGGTACCTATCATCACTTTGTAGCACTAATTTATAACAGGATTTTTGGAACATAAGACTAGTTCTTAGTATTCAAAGACTTGGGCTACTCTAACCATACTTGATAGAGAATATCAAATTTGACTCAGAAAACTTATTTTAGAAATTCTATTTGTCCATAGTAATATTTTTACCCAGTAGGGAATTCTTTTCCTTGGCTACTGGGGGCTTCTGTTCCTTTATTTTCCTTTAATCTTGGTTAAAATGACTACATAGTTCACAAGAATTTATTAGTAGACTGTATAAATTGTGCCAGTGAAGTTGAATTCCTATTACATCATTTTTTCTGGTATTTCTTGGACATCTTCCACATCTGTTTAAATTCTTTAATTTTAAGTTACTATGCACTTGGGCTCTTAGCTGGAAAATTTAGAGTTAAAATTGTTTTTTTCTTCAAGTTAGCCATAACCCTATCAGTTTTTGAAAACATTCTCTTCTGGTAAATAGTAGCTTCCAAACATTTGGAGCTTTGAATGTTATACTACAATTTTTGTTGGAGCACCTGAAGGAATTAAACCGATTGCACAATTATACTGTTTTCTAAGCATCCAACCCTTAGGTGTCACTGCGGAATTAGATTTATTTACTACTGCAGTTGCAGGCCTCAGGACCCTGCAATTATCCCCTCCCCATGCCAAATCCCATTTGCAATTCGTTATTATCCCTCTGGTCCTTAAAGGCCAAAGAGAATGAACTGAAGAGGGATTTCAACAAGAGGCTATTTCCAGACCAAGAAAAATGAGCAAAACTCTCCCCATTCTATCGTATTCTGGATGTGACCCAAATCGTACTTTTATCCTGTTAAAAATACTTTTACCTCTTTGTAGAACATAAAGTCTGGGCTTGTGAGCATGCCATTACTTGTTCTAAATGCCACAGTATTCAGGGTAAACTACACTATCCGAAAAGTTCTTTTTACCCTGTTAACATTTATCCTGTTCCCTTTACTTAGACAGCCCTTGGCTTTTTTTCCTATGTAATGCTAACTCATTCTACAAGACAGAGCCAGTGTCTTCACCAAACTGTCTTCACGTACCCAAATACTGTTGTTATAGATCCTCCTTCCTCTGTTCACACAAGGCTTTCGCTGTGATTTGAAAATCTTTATTACTCAGCTGTTGGTAGACAGGAGCTACACGGTGTTATTTTCTGTATTGCCCAAAGCGAAACTAATAACTTCGGGGACTTCCCTTTTCATAGCACTCATCACAAGCTTGCTATTCACGTATTAAGCTCTGCGAGGGCAAGGAAAACACGTGGGTCCCACTTACGGTTGAAACTTCTCCAGCACAAGACACTTAGTAGACTACTTCATGTCTTTTAAATAAATGCAAATTCAGAGGCTGTCAGAATAACACACCAAGAAGGCTGAATCTCCCCACATCAATGTGAGCAGGCCTCAGGATCCTTCAATGATTCCCTCCCCACCCCTGTGGTGGTCACATGCATAAGGCCTGTAGCTCATGGCTCTATAAAAAATGTTTCATGCCGTCAGATACGCCCAATGAGCACCTACTACATTCATGGTACCAGTATAATAAACGAGTACTACCCCGCCTCCTGCTCCAACCAACACCCAGGGCTGGTAAGATTCTGATCACAAAAACAGAAACAAAACAGGCGACATAAACGCCGTATACAGGGCCACAATAGCCTTCACCCTACAAAGTACAAGCCTAAACGAGAGCTTGGAGGGCTCTGGGTCTTCGGAGGACGGACAAGCCGCGTACGCGACAGATGTGCCAGAAACTCAGCGGGGCCCTGACACCAAGGTCCGCGGATGATCTGGGGTCTGGGGCGATGAGACCTGGGGTCGGGGGTAGAGGGTGGTATTACTCCGCAGCGGGGGAGGCCCACCCTCAGCTGAAAATTCCTCTCCCGTTTCTCACCGGCCTCCATAACACGGCCCGGGTGCCGGTCCTATCCAGGGACCCGTCTGCACGCTCCCGCACCTTCCCGCCTAGGGTCACCACGACCCTTTCCACCTTAGCGCGAGGTCCACCGCCGGGTTCGGGAAGAACTCGTAACCATGCACAACAAACTCTGCCGCCGCTCTTCCCGAATCCCCGCACTACCACTGAGGGGACCGCGAGCGCAGCTAGAGCGCCCCGGCACAGCTTCGGCGCGGGACCCGGAAGCACTCCGGACCGAAAAGGGCCGGCGGCTTCCGGGGCGGAAGGGGCGGGGCGGCGATCAGCGGTCAGCGCGGGGGGTTGAGGTGCGGACCCTATGGCTCCCGGCGCGGACTGCGTTTTCCTGTCAGTTCTCTGAGATTAGGGACTTGTTTGGTCCCAGGGGCCGTCCCTACCAAGATACAGGATTGGCGGGCTTGGATTCTCTTCGCAAGTCTCTACGTCTGACCGTGAAGCCAAGTATTTTGCACCCGATCCTTCGAATTCCCGAAGAAGCGAATGAGTTAAAAGAGCCTCAAGAGCAGACCCTTTATTTAAGGCCTCACATTTTATTTAGTTTCTCTTATTCAAGCTACACGTATCCCAAAATGCATCTCTTTTAAACTATAAAAATGGTTCTGTGTATTTAGAATCTTGGAGTGCTCAAGATTAGGCAAAGGGGTCTCAGCCTTCAACCCTTTTCAGGTGGGAGTAGTATGGAAAAGACTCCTCCTCCCCAACTACGCCACAGCTTTTGTTTTTCTTTAACCAGCCAAGTGAAAAAAACAAAAGAGACAGGGAAATACGGCACATGAAGGCCCAAGCTTGCTAGTAATTCTGTATTCACTCAATGTACGTTATTTTCTGCAGAGGGCCTATGGGTTTTGCTACAACTTGCATGCTGCTGCTCACCAAATTACCCCAGTCTTAGAATTGGGGAGTGAAAGGAAGGCAAAACAATAGCTAACCTGCTCCACTCTTTCTTCAGGAGGTCACATGCAATAGTTACTACTTTCCGTAGTTACTTTATGGTTGGCATTTTATTAAGTAATAATGAGGTGAAAGAATAAACTTATCCCCCCCCCCTTCAAAGAGGTCACAGACTAGAGAGAGAAACAAAGGAGTGGAGAGTTAATCACAGTGTGGTGCAATAAATGCCACAAGAAACACAGGGTGAAAGGAGTTACCAAAGCTGGGGGGTTCTGAGAGGAGATTATTGAATTGAGCTGTCATATGGAACACTAACTCGATGGGATGGTGGCCTCCAGTTACACTACTAGGCAAGCTGTCCTAGAGATAATGAAATAGAAAACTCACAGACCATATTAGGATGCTTGAATAACATGGTTTTTTGAATCTATTTGAATACTCAGGGAAAAGCAAGGGGAAAGAATTGGAATTAAGCTGATACATTTAGGATAGGGTGCAAAGAAGTGAAAGGACTTCACCCGAATCAGGAGTTAAGCAGTGTTCATATATTCTGTCACATCAGCCTTTTCCTTTGATGGTATGCTTATGAGGACTAGCATTCAGGTCACAATGAGGAGGCTCACAGGTAGAAAGTGCTTTGAGCCAACAGCACACACCTGTTTTGCTGGACAGGTTCAGGGAAAGGTGCCTGACTACAACCAGAGCTTACTGATGAGCCTGAACAGGCATGGGCTTATTTGCTTGCATTCATTCATTCATTCATTCATTCATTCATTCATTCATTCATTTAGGAGAGAGCACATACGAGCTTATACTAGGTATCGCCTATGGATGGTGAATTTAATGGCAACATAGCTCTCAACCCATAGCTTAGTTTTTCCATCCCCCCACTTTTTTTTTTACTCTAAATGATCCTCTGTTTCATGGTATTTTTATTTTATTTTAGCTTAGGCATGCCTTATAGTTTACTCACTTATGAGTTTATTCATAGAAACACACTTCTATGTTTCACAAAGTACATGCTTACTCATATTCTCTGTATAAAACATCCTAGGAATTTTGCATTTATCTCATGAAGTGAGTCAGTCCGTTTTTCTGACTAATACTTCTTATGACTTTCATCCATCCTTAAGGAAACTAAGAGGAATTCAGCATAGCTGGAGTGGAAAGCTGAAAGAAGTAAGTAGAAGACAGATAATGCCCTTTTTGTGCAATATTAGAGATACTAAATTTTATTCTTAAGTAAACTGTAAAACTGTAAGGTGTGTGGAAAATAGGGAAGGGGTACAGTACTGGGCAGGAGAGCCAGGTGGAATCTCTTGCCTTAATGCAGGTGATTAATAATGATGGCCTCAGTCAACTCAGTGGCTCTAGGATGAGGTGATCCCCTTCCCCTTCCTTAGACATTTGCTAATGTCTGGAAATATTTTTTTGTTTTTGCAGCCAGGGGTTGCTACTGATATCTAGTGGTGTGAGGTCAGGGAAAATGCTAAATATCCTACAATGTGCGAGACAACCCCTCACAAAAAGAATGATCTGGTTCAACATTTCAGTAGTGCCAAGATTGATATACCTCAAACTAAGGGAATTAAGACAACATAGAGAAGATAGAAGTTAAACAAGTGGATTTAGTAATGGATTAGATACAAATGTGAAGAAGAAGGAGCAAATGATTTTAGGGTACTTGCTTTTGGGAGGACAAAAGGGTTAAGGAGAATAGAGACAAGGAATTAAATGTTGGATATGCTAAGTCTAAGACGTCTGAATGAAGATACACAGTGCAAAGTTGGAAAGAAGAGGCAGACAATGAGAAGAATTAGAGCTAAACATCAGAGTTTTGGTAAATATTAGCACTAGATCAGAATCCTTACAGATAAGCTTCAATATTGCATTTTTGGCAAGCAATTTGGTGATTTTGCAGCATGATAAAATTTAAGAACAATAGATTAGGTCTCAGAGAAGTCTGAAAAGGAGCACACAGCGAGGTAGACAGAAAACAAGGGAAGGAGAGAGTTGAAAGCAGGGTTCTGTTGGTATAAGATGTTGCTATAGAACAGTGCTGGCCATTTGATGTGTGATGAGAGTCCTATATGTATCTGTAAATGGTAAATTTTCTAGTACCAGTATTAGGTAAAAAGAAATGGGTGAAATTAATTTTATAAATATATTTTGTTTAACCCTCTATATCTAAAACATTATTATTTTATCATGTAATATAGAATTATAAATAAAGTATGTTTTATTCCCTTTTCATACTAAATCTTAGAAATCTGGTGTGCATTTTATATCCATAGTACCTCTCAATTTCAGGTACTGAGTACCTATGTGTGGTCAGTAGCCACCATATTGGGTAGCATAATTGTATAAGGTCAAATAAGAAAAGAACTAAAATGTATCCTTTAGTTATTAGCCATGAGGTATTTGTAGATGGTGTGGTAAGAGCTCTTTCAGTGAAGTGGGGTGTAGAAGCCAGAATATACCCAGTTAAAAAGTGGGAAATTAGAGATAACAGGTACCACAGAACATTTTCAAGAAGCTTTACTTTTATTGCTTTTTTTGGTACTTTTGAATAAGAATTTAAGATCAGACAATGCAATTCAGGCCAATTAATTTGGGCTTCTGCTTCTGCAGATTGCTTTCTTACTGAAAAACAACTATGTTCAGATATTGGACAACAGGCAGAACAGAATTATGATTGCAGATGGAAGAGAAACAAACAAGGTAAATCCTTTACTGACCCCAGCCAGTGTTCAGCCACAGAGCAGGGAGGGGAACCTAAACAGAGACGAGCGGCTTCACTGAATGAAGGAGACAGAGGTGGGCATTCAGGGAAGCTGATGGGCTGGTATCAGAGAGGAGGAGGTGACACAGAGTCCTGGAGGTCTGCTCAGGTTGTACCTTTCCCCTTGTACCTTTGGATGAGTATTGATCTTTGCAGTGGAAGGGTGAAGCACCATGAGGTCTGAGAAAGAACCGCCAAAAAGTAGTGGTCCAAACAGTTTCCGATGCTGAGAATAGTTTGTGTTCCCATCAGCCAGAGCACAGAGATCTTGTAATAAGCACTTCGTCCCTGCCAGTCAAGATCAGAACAGCTGGAGCCTGGCCGGTGCACAGTCTCTTCCCCACCCTGCGCCTTACATCTCTCCATTTCTCCCTCACGCTCTCCTGGTCCTCCAAGCCTCTCTGTGTCGTCTCTCCTCTTAGACTAGTTTGGTCTTCCTGACAGCACGCTAGCTGAAAGGTAGCTGGACTTATTACATGGCGGCTCAGGGCTTCCAGTGCTTATGTTCCAGCAAGCAAGGTGAAATCGACTTTGTTTTTTGTGACTTACCCTCTGAAGTCATGTATTGTCACTTCCACCTGTTCTGTTGGTTATGCGTGAGTCACTGAGCTTGGCCCAGACCCAAGGAGAGAGAATATAGCTTCCGCTTCTTGTGGGAAAAGTATTAAAAAATGTAGATATGTTTTAAAAATGCTTAAAAGGGCATATTCTAGTATCACCTCTAATAACTGCCATAGTTTCAAAATAGTGATGAGTATAAATGGTATTTTGAGATATCTGTAACAATTGTAACTTGATACAAAAAAATCTGTGATTTCTATTAGTGATAAGGTAATGGGTACTGTAGACAGTTGTTAATACCACAACAGAGCTGATAGCTACTGCTAATAATACTATAATTTATTGCCTATATTGTAAGTAGATGAATTGCTCAATTTCAGTTAGAGGTTGGGGAAATAAAGAGATAATTATAACGAGGGGCATAAAAGAGCAACATTTAGGGCCTATATGAAGTCAGAGAGCATGAATATGTTAGAGACATAAATCTATGATGTGAAAATTCCAATTTCTATTCTAGTATATAGGTGTTCTTGTAAGGGACCAGTGAAGTCAGACAACTGGATGAATTCAAAGTAGAATTGTCAGGTGCATCAGAAGGACAGGGACAGCAGAGTTTCGAATTTTGTCAAGGAAATGACTGGATGGTATGAATTATGAAAGAAGACACCACGTTTGGTTTTACTATAGTATTCCCACAGCTTACGAATGTTAGTTGGGGAAAGGAATGGTTACAGTTATAAATGTCTGGAAACAAATAAGAGAAAGCTGATTGGCTATGAGCATGTGAGGAGAACTTGGGCTCTCAAAATCAAAACAGAGGGTGAAAGCAGCGATCATATTGAAAGAATAAAGAGTTGTGGTCAGAGAGTCGAACTGAAGTTTAAAACAACAGCTGCTAGTGCGGTTCCCTGTGAGGCTACGTCTTGGCCCCACTTAAAAGGCACTCGGTGATGTCCAAAGGAGC